CCACCACATCTCTGGCCTGTACCCCAGTTCTGTAAGAATAAATAAAATCTTTAAAGAAAAAAAAAAAGTGAAACCAGCAGTGGTGGGACAGGGCCTTAAAACCACTACAAACAACTCCTTCTGGTCCCACAGGTGTGGAGGAGATCCCTAGGGCTTATAAATTCTTTCTCTACCACCATGCTCTTTAGCACAGAACATAAACGAAATTATGGAAGCGTGAAGTAAAAAAGAGAAACAAAAACCTAGTTGTCTAGCCAGGGGAAAAGGAAGCAGCTAGGTCTTTAGTGCCAGAAAGTGTGGGGAACTTACAGAAAGAAAGGAGTTTAAGAAAATGGCACTGGGGGTTCTACAAATACCCCAGAGATCATCCTACAATATGGCATTTGTGGTTATGATCTTTAACATACTATCATGTTCCCTAATTAGCCACTAGGTGGTACACATACAGAACAGCTCAGAATAGGCAAAGGCTGAAAATTACACATTGGAGCTTTAGTACACATAAATGAGTATTGGCTTTGTGACCTGAACCTGAGATAAAATGCCTCTCTCACTCACACCCACACCCATTTTCCACAGCATTTAAGTAAGACACAGAGAATCATAACATCAGAATGTGTAAGATAGAATTCAATTGACAAATGAAGAAGCAGAAAATCTCAGTAACTCCCAAGGGAAAAACAACCTCCTCATGACAAACCCAAGATGAAACAGATGTTGAAAACATTAGAGGCTTTAAAGATTATAACCATGCTTGGGGGGGGTTGGGGGGTGGGGGGGAGACAGAAAGACTCTCAGCACAGCCTTCCTAGTGCTATAAGGGTTAAAGTCTCAACACTATTGGCAGCCACTGCAGAATGAGTTTTATCCCCAAACGGAACTAACCCACAAGCAGCAGCAGACGACTCCTGTCTCACCCACTGCTCCCCTCATCAGTTTATTTCAGGAGATCTGCCTGTTCTGCTCCCCACTCTGTCTCTGGTGAGTCTTCTCACACCACCACATCTCTGGCCTGTATCCAGGTCTTGTATGCATAAATAAATAAAAAATAAATCTTGGGATAAAAAGAGAATCTCAACAGAGAAATAGGTATGTGTGTGTTAGACAAAATAAAATTTGAGAATAAAAAACACAACAGCCAAAAATATAAAAAGCAATATTCTCTGAAGGAGCCCAACTGCAAAATGGAAAAAAAGAGGAAAGTCAGTGAACTTAGTGTAGACTAGATATAAAAAAGAAAAATTACATAACAAAAAATCATTTTATTTTAATATGGCTGAACATTACCTTCTATAAGACTACCTAAGTGTGCTGACATGAACGATAAAGCTACTAAAAATGAAGAACTTTTATAAACTAACATTATCCCAATAAACAGTATTACAAAAAAAGAGGAAATGGAGATCTGAAATATTTGTGTGTCTTTTTAGTGAGGACTTCATGATTTGATATATTATTTACTGTTATATTGTTTTACCACAAATTTAATTTAAGTGGAAAGATTACAGGGATTTTGCAGAACATTCAGCTTACTTTAACCACAGGAGGGAAATGTTTATCAAACAAAGTATCACTGCATTGGAAGTGAGTAGAACTACAAAACACAATTTTGCGGAACTACTTTATGACCAACTGAGTCATAAACTCAGAAGAATGACAGTCATAATACACCTTTTTCTTTGTAAACTCTCACTATCCAGTTAACAAAAGGATATAAAAATTATCTGAGTCTGCAAGGATAATCTATACAGCCCCAAAGCTTCGACTTGATTTACCTAAATAACAGTATTATTTCATTTCAATTATTGCTATACTTAAGAGTTCATTCCAGATAGGCATAGACACCTACAGCTTGCATTTTGTATAATTTTAGATGAACTTACTTTACATTTAAAATGTATAAATAAAAATATGTAACTTTTAGGAGTTTACATTGATGCTAACATGGCTTCTATCCTATCCCAAAGCCTTAATTAGGAACTAATGACCTAGTAATGAAGGAGGCCATCCAGGAAACATGCAGAGTAAATGACGAGAACCTATAATACAGAACTAATACACAAATGTTTAACAGTCAAAGAAGAAAAACTAGCAAATAAAACTAAGGAGTAGCCAAAGAAATAATCAAAGGAACAGGAAGATACAATTCTTCCAGAACAGCACAGGAAATGTGGGGCCAAAGAAAAATTATTTTGTTCCAATAGGAAGTTTCACTATGTCAGAATAAAAAGAGGCAAAGGTATCCACAGTTAGTCCAATGCTTCCATCCCAACATGAGCGGCAAACAGATTCAGATAGTTTGACAAATCTCTCGTCATCCAAAGGTACCACTCACAGTTTCTGAACACAATAAAGGATGCAGTGTCCCTCACCTACCAAACTCAACTAAATAAACACTATTCTGAGTTCAGAAGCTCACCTAGTAATAGCAAGGAATACATGGAATTTGAACAAAAGAAATAACTAACAGAGTCAAGTATCTGAAGGAAAGAGCCCTCGCCTGGTCCTGAGCTGTACTTCCCCTCTGTCAGCTCACTGCCATTCCCTCCTAGCCCACGGGCATTTTTTCAACCTCCAGTCTTTTAATGTCGATCTTCTACAGGACTCTCTTTCTCATCTCAATTTCTACTTTCCTTGGGCATTTTCATCCTCCCATGATTTAAAAAGCAATATGCTCCCTACAGCAGTGTCCTATTCACCTTAATCGTGCTTAGCACACTGTATTCATTTTAACTTCATTTTAGATCACTTGTTTTACCCACTGGCACATAAATCCCATGAGGACTGGGACTAACTGATCTGTTCACTTAAGTATCCCTAGCACCTATCATGTAGTAGGCCTAAAACATTTCATGGATGGCTGGTAGAATTAGGAATACAGGTATCAAGACTGGATTTAGACAACAGTAAAAATGCCTCTTTATTTTTATTTTAAACAAGAACATGAAAAATGAGTATTAATACAAACACATTTGTAGATTCAACCACAGAAACTTGAGTGTAAGAAGTCACTGACAACATTTAAATACAAATATATTCAGAGAGGCAGCTATGAAGATCCAGAGGTTACAGAGGCTGACTTTATAAGCTCCATAGTTTATCTCAAGATTCCTCAATCCAAATCTATAAAGCCATTCTGATCTAGTTCACTACTAGTTTAGATTCTTTTCACCTGATTATCAAAAAAAATCTGAGTGTTACTGCACATTCCATATTTCATATAAAAACAGTTTTCAAAGCACAATTCTCCCAAACAATATCAGTCATTGATAATAGCAGTAACATTTAATATACATTCAATATTTAAGTGGCAGGTACTATTTTAAAAGCTTTACACATAGCATCTTTTAATCTTTACAAAAAACTGTGACTTAGAGGTAAATACTATTATCCCTATTATTCACATTTTTTCAGATGTGAAAAATGAGGCAGAGAAATTAAATAACTTGCAACCCACATCAGTTAGTACGTGATAAAGGACAAGACTACTCCTAAGCACTGTGCATACTTCCTCTCGATCAGTTACACATCCCCAGGCCCATATTAATAATACTTAATACTTCTGATGAGGGTAGGCCCCACGAGTGTCTGATGACAGTTATGAATGTCTTCCAAGGGGAAAAATTTTTTTTATGGTTAGTTTCTCTAGATCCATAGACTTCCCCTACCCAATGAAGCCTAAGGTGTTTTGAGCAATTTACCACTCAACATTCTCCCAATCAAAAGCCCTGATCTTCGCACGTGTCAATTCTCAGTCCATGTGTAGCAGCCAACACTAGCAATCAATTAGCACTTTCCAATCTCCTGGACACATAAATTAGTTTAGAAGTGGACAGAACACTCAAACCAAAGCTAAAGGGGCAGAATAAGAGGTGAAAACTTTTTGGCTGCCTCCCCCCTCAACTAGTGAACTTTAAAAAAAAAAAAAAAAAAGATTTATTTATGCATAAAGAGCTGGGATACATTCCAGAGGAGCAGGAACAGTGAGGATTCACCAGAGACAGAGTGGGGAGCAGAACAGGC